CTTATAAAAGAGTCAAAAAGCACACTGATCTGCTTGTTTGGGTTGTTTTTCTTATTCTGACTGCTATGAACAAAGAAAAAGTGTCTTCCTCCTCCCGGACAAATTCAATTGAATAAACAGTAGTAGGAGGCATTAACATGTCTTAATGTTTGAATGTGGTTAACTGGTTTGGATGAGTTGGAAAACTGTTTTGGCTTTGCAAATTTGATGAATTTAATCTATTTTTTAATTTATGCTATTGACGTGCAACTGTTTTTTGTTGAAGTGGAAGTGTTCAGTGTTGTTTTTAAATATGGTTGCATGTCACTTATTTATGAGTATTCAATTAGAGATTGTTCTGCTTTTACTTTCTTTCCCAGGTAAGTAGGCTTTCTGTCTTCCTGGAACCTGGAGTTTCAGTGGACCATGAAAGATGTTTGCTTCTTTTCAAGTGTTGATTTGTAGCTCATGTGATTTCACTTCTGTTGGCTTATCTCACTGTTAAGAATTATTTAACTATATAATTTCATAATATTGCAAATTTGGAACTAATTGGTACTTTTTCTCATTCCATCTCTCTCATTCTCTGGTTATGAATTGCAATAATAGTCTTCTAGACTTAAAATTTGTTCAACTAATTGAGTGTTTTTTCATCAGCTTCTGTCTATAAGGAATGAGCTCTTTGAGACATTCAGGAAGAGGCAAAAGGGTGTAATGGAACGTGAAGAAGTACAGTTTACTGCTGACTCTCTTCACAGGTTAGTTAATGACTCCATGATTGTACCTTATGGACTATGTTGTTTTTGATCTGCAACTGACCTTACCCACTGATGCTCTTCAGAATGTTATTAGCTTTCAGTGAGCAGACAAAAGGTCACAAATTGCCACAGAATGCGTCAGACCAGGAAATGCTTGAAATTGTCATGGGCAGGTGTGCTTTTTTCCAGTTAAATGTGTGTTTAGCTAGAAACTTCATGGTAGGCAGTGGATCATTGCAGTGGGCAGTAGTTAAATCTTACTAATGTTCACATGGAACTTAAATTTCATTTTTTCTTTTAGTTTTTAAATGGGAAGAGTCTTGGGGTTGTCTGCTACTAGTATCCCATATATCGTGAACTTACAGTCTGCTGTGTACAGTGAACAGGATAAGGTTTGTTAATTATTAGTGGGCACATTGGATTCTTACTCTGTTACTAATGTTTATGCTTAGCATACTCTATACTGGTTGTAGTATCTGCAACATGATGTGTATACCTCACCATCCTAAACCCTGCTCTTGTCCATTGACATGAAGTAGTTTATCCATCTGTATTTAGGTATGAGAAAGAAGTTATGCATCCCATCCAGAATCTTGTTGGGGGAGAACTTGTTCGTTCTCTCCTTATACAGGCAAGTCCTCTTAACCTGTTTCATTTGGTAGGTTTTGGCTTAGCATTTGACTTTAGCTCCTTTTTGTGGACAGGTTCAGAAGCTAAAGCTGGACATTGAGACGTGAGTTGAATAACTGAGATCTTGAGTAGAAATGTTTGAATAGAATGTCACTAGAATTTTGGGTCGCTCTTCCTTTCTTTCTTGCTATCCCCCTCACTCATAAACCTTTTTTACCAAATTCTTAAACAGAGCAATGCTCGAGTTAGACCAGATTCTCAGGGCCAATGAGATCAACTTTGCTATTTTGGCTGCTTTACCAGCATTTGCTCTCTCCCTTATTTTGCTGATGTTGGTGCGCGCATGGCTTAAACAGGTCAGAATGACTCTTTCTATTGTTAGAAAAGGTTCAACAGAATTTGCTTGCTTGTTTTGGTGTATCATGTTAGAATTAAGTAGATAGTTCCTGGTATAAATGCTCTAGCCCTTTCATCTAGCTCAAAACTTCGCTGGCCATGGAACACGCCAAGATACTTTTGACGGCATTTCTTGCCACTTCCACACAAGTTCATGCATTGCGCATAGTTTTGAACTCTTCATTCCTCATATTCCAAGATTACGATTCTACAATTATATCAGGTGTTACGAAACTATTTAACGCTATATCTGTACTTGTTTCTCTTGAAATAGGATACAAGAGCAGAAGGTAGGGGGAGAGTTGCTCGGATTCAAAGAAGGCTGCTTGTAGTTGAGATTGAGAGAGGGATTATGCAAATTCAGACTTGCAGAGATCAAGGGCTGGTAATTGCTCTCTTCATTGTTTTGTCCGGACATCAAACTATTTATCTGATTGTGTTCTACCAATTGCTTATTGCTAGTCCAGATTTACTGTCAGACTTGATTATAAAATTTATTCAGCTTGGAAATCTCTGAACTTGTGCAGTAGCAGGAATCTTCTAATTCAACATTGCTGTACTGTGTGTTCTCAACTGCTTCTAATTTTAGAAGCAGAATCGGAAGCCAAAAGCACCTATTGTGCTGCTGCTGATTTCCAGCTCTTTTGCAGGCAGAAAAACTAAAAGCAAGGAAATGAGAACAGAAGAAAGTAGCTTTTCTGCTTCAGGGTCCTAAATTATTTGAGAACAAGCTTGTAGTAATTTCTGCCTCAATAATCATATCAAGTTTTTAGTTACTAAATTGTTAATAAATCTCAAACACATTCTTGTCCATTTATACCCTCAGGAAACATTCCTGCATGGCGCACCTCATAGATCCCCTTAAGAAATATTCATTATGTCATACAGACTACTGCTTAGGTTTTTCTAGAATCTTTGTTTTTTCTCAATTGTTTCATTCCTATATTTCATTGGAATACTCCTCCAAAATCTTGTTCATGTGCTTGCTAGCTTGTGACTGCACTACTGAATTTAGGTTGGTTGCATGCTGCTTTGTTTCGAACTGCTTTACTATTGATTGATTTGCTTTATTTCCTTTAGTCGTAGACAAATCTGCTTTGATGGTAATTACTCTTTAGAAACAACTTTGATTGCCTTGACTTGTACAAAATTAAGGTTGTCTTCTCTATTTTTTTCAAGGAAAATGATGCTGAATGCATGTTTGGGCTGGTTTTGTATTCCTTGGATCGCTTATACTGTGCTGTGGAGAGGCATGCAAAAGCAACCGGTGAATGGATGTGGTTAGTTCTAGTTCATCTTTTGATTTCTCTTAGATGTTCTATAATTCTTTTTTCGTCCTTCTTCAGTGTGTCTGCATATTTGTTTGTATGAACATCTGGGTTTGTGTTCATCTTTGCGTGCATTAAAGAGAGTGACAAAAGGACACTCACTCAATTATGGAGCTAATTATTGTATATTTAAACAGTTTGAGGCAGGATATATATGATTTGGCGAAGCCAGGCCTTGAAACTGCAAATAAGCTCAGGATTACATCGCGCATGGAGCGGGTGTACGACTGCTTGCTTCCTTCGCCAAAACGACAATGAACCTACATTGGTTTCACAAAATTTTGTAAGACTACGCAAGACATTCATTTGGAAGAGAACTGATATATGGTTTTTCTTTTGTTACCGGCATGCTTTAGTAATTTGTAAGCTGCAAATTTTGGAAAGACTTGCAGCACAGGGGCATCATTTTTTTGGTATAGCAAGAACTGAGCTTTCTCCTCTCCCTTTTCTGGCGGTATATACCCAAGTTATTGACTCAAGAATGGTGGAAGATGGTTTATTGTTCATTGTCTACAAATTACTCAAGACAACTACAGCTGCTTTTGAATATGTTCTCTAGTACAGCTTTGGGAGATCAGAGAAATGAGGGGTCTATGCAAATTATATTTGGTTTTATTTTCTTTAAAGAAGGGTAAGGTATGTACCAAACTGATGTGATTGTAAAGATGTCATACTAATCAAGCACAGAAAAAAGCATGTTCAATCACTACTTCTGAGTAAACAAAAAAGTGGTTCAGATGAAATAAATCAAGACACTTATTCGTTGTCTAATTATTTAGTACGCTGTCCAAACCCAAGTGGCAACAAATTTACAAAATGCATGGAACGATATTACTGCTCTAGTCTGCTCTATGGATTGATTCCTTCAATCAAGCATACGGTTGTTTACTTAACAAAAAAGAGACTTAAAAACTGCAAAATTGTGGATTTGGGATTTTTGGATGGGGTGATTTAGTAGCGAAAACGGTTCTTAATCTTCTCGTCGCTATAGAGAGTATGTCTAGGGCATTTCATATTCTGAATTTGACTCTAGAACCTTTGATTCAACCGATCATCGGAGGATATTCTAAAGCAAAACATACCGGGGGAATCAAAGCATTTGTTCATTATCCCACATACATGACATCATCGAATGACATCATCGAAGGGCAATAGTGAATCTACGTTCAGTATTAGATAGTAATCCTTATAGAATGAAAGTTGGCACACAATAAGCTAAATCCTCTGGATTCTTTAATTTTATAGGTAACTAAAATTGTGGTTCAATTGAGTTCCGTCCAATTTTTGTTCTGATTGGTGTAATTCTTGAAATATTTGGTATCTGTTATCACAATTTTTAAGGTAATTGTAAATTTTTTTCGTGTACACTAATTCAATGGAGACACACTTAAATTGCAGTTCGATTGAGTTCTGTCCAATTTTTGTTCTAGTTGGTGTAATTCTTGAAATATTTGGTATCTGTTATCACAATTTTTAGCGTAACTGTGAATTTTATTCGTGTGCATTAATTCAATGGAGACACACTTAAATTGCACGAGTTTATGCTTGGAAAAGTTTGAGTAGGCATGGCATGATTTGCATGTGTAAGAAAGCATTTAGCGAAGTAATTAATTAGCTAAGTTGTCTATTCTTTTGTTCAATAGCTGTGTGTTAAAATTCTTGAATCCTGATACTCTTGGCCAAAAAATGGTTGTAATGTAGATCGATTATAGAGCAGCATACTGTCCTAATGTTTTGGATGCCTATATTTAGGTGATGGACAAAAACTGGACCAAACTTAATAATAGAAAGGACAAAACTTATGAACTTGGGATGTTGAATTTCCTGAAGTTTGCATGTTCTGAAAAACTAGAACATCTTAAGATCCCTTGACCATATATAGAAATGCATGCAATAACTTTTGCTGCAACTAGACCGGAAGTAGAACAGATTTTTCGTCTCCACGTCGAGGCACATCAGTAGAATTATCGAGTACAGAAGGAGAGTTTGGTTGGTGAGCTTCCACTAAAGTATCAACATCTGACTGATGATCAAGTGGAGATGATCTGTAGACATCGACCACATCTGCTACAGATTTTGGTGAAGTATCCCTGTTTTGCATTTTGAAGTTTAAAGCATTAGATAATGGCATCAAGATAACTATCACAAGAATGCAAGAGAGCAGCGCAAGCTGCTTTTTTACCTTGCTTTCAAAATAACCACCAAACATAAGCACTCTCAAAATTAGCACAATGCTCTTCAAGCTTAATCAGAAAAACATTCGAGGAATTCCTGTGCATCTTCCTCACGAAATCATTGAAAAACAGATGAAAATTTGGTAGTTGAAACATTAAGGAAGACGAAGAGTACGACTTGTACAACTGAAAAAGGCAACTTATGCACTAAAATATGAGCCAGAACCCGGAACTGCAGTATGCAACTTAGAGGCGATGAATAGGTGACAGTGTTTCCACCAAGATCAATATAATCTTGTCTAGTATTTGGACAAAGAGTAAAACATATTTATAGAAAAGCCAAACTCCGTAAAGCATTCTGCTGCTGTATATTTAGAAGAGAATACAGTTCACATTGTCAACAAATATCAATGGAAAAGTGATCTTTGCCAGTAGCGACCAATGAAAGCTGAACATGCTCATTTAGGCTACAAAATATGCAGAAACATTCACTGTTACCTGCAAACAACATTAGAGCTCAACTATTCAATTACAACCATGGTTCAAAGTCGTGGTCGCGGTCACGGTCGCGGCCCGGAACGTTCCACATCGGTTTCGGCATTTCGGTCGCGGTCTCGGTGAGACGCAAATTTTAAAGTATTTAATATTCTAAAAATTATTAATAATATAAAAAAAATATGCTAAACAAAAATAATAAAAAATAGCAAAAGAAATGGCCAAGTCAATCCGTCACGGTGTAACTCGGCTGATTTCTCATCTTGACTCGGGATAACTCGGATTGACTCGGTCGGAGTGACTCGGCCGAGTCAATCCGTCGCGGTGACGTCTGGGCCGATTTCTCGGCGAGTTAAGTATCTCGGTATCGTTTCGTCACGGTATCGTATCGGTAAGGGCCGAGACGGTGACGACTCGGCCGAGACTTCGAACCATGATTACAACAGAAATTGAACCATATTCCACGCATACTCAACTAAGATAGTTTACTAAACATAAAAAAAAATTTGAAATCAATATGTAAGGCATTCACGTTTCCTGATTGAACAGCCTCAGCCATTATCTGCTCCATAAAATAAATTGCTGTATGAGACTTAATTCATCAGCAACTTTTCACCACATGGAAAGTAAGGAATTTTTTTTTCCCTTTTTGGCAAAGCCCTATAATGGAGGATGCCATCCCAAATTTTGTTATATTATATAAATAAATAAAAAATGGGAAGAGGCATAGACCTAACTTCAAATATAGTAAAGCAAAGAAATACTTCTCTATTACGCTTTTAGAATTTTTATCGCCCTAGCAAAGAACTTGCTTGTAAGGTTTACAATTTTTTTTTTTTTTTTTTTTAACTGGGCACGTCTACAGGAGTCCGTCATACGCTGATATGAAAGCTTGTACTGAAGAAAGAGCGAGAGTCATGGAAATAATCACAGAACCCGTCAAGATCAACAACATAGCAAATGCCAGAATAGGAATTGAAGTTGGTGCTATGAGGATTATTGAAATAGAATAGCTAAGTGATAGAGCTATTCCGACGCATCCCATATAATAATAAAGGGTTCTGGGGAGCAAACGGAAGATAATTCGAAGGGAGGCTGCAAAGATTATTGTGTTCAAGTAAACAAAAATTACGAAATTTATTCCGCGCATTTGTGCTGCTCCTCTGGTGTTATTGGTGTCTTCAGGTCTACTGATACGGGCAAAACTTGAACTAGAAGAAATATTGCAAGGCTGGTTCGAAAATGAATTACTATCACCTCCTGATGAAGTTCCACCCGGAGGGGTTAGTACAGCTTCATAGGCAGCAGTCAGAAATAATACAGCTACCACAAGAAGGGCATTTCGCATCTCACTTGACAAGCCATCTATACTAGCATCAAGTTCAACCATTTGCCTGAAAACTTTTCTGGTGAATGGTTCCTTTGAACTCAAAATATCAGCGAAGGTTTTAGCTGGACGTAGAGACGACGATCTTTTAGCACCTGCACAGCGTAAAGCTTTAGCAATTCTCTCATCTCCTGTGATTGCGAGCCCCATAAAAGTATCGAGGCATGTTAATCCTTCGAAGTTCTGTTCATTTATTTTCACTTCGTTCATCAAGAACTTTACAGCCTGAAGAAATGAGCAAGAATTTAATAAGAAATGACCAAGAAATGACCAGGAATGACCAAGAAATGATCAGCTAAGTATATCGAACTTTTTTGTTTTTACAGCCAGCAGATTAATTAGCTGATCTGAAGCTTATTATAGAAATTGCATATAGGAAGCTTGCACATCGTGCCTTATACGAAACATACAATGCCTTATGATCTTACCAAATATTATAACGCACTTTTATGGTCATTAACGAAAATTCAAGCTACAAAACTGCAAAATTCATAAATCTTTTAGCCTAAAGTGACAAAAATCCCTTCCAAGTACATTCCACCTGCGCCAATTCGACCAGACTGGCCACCAAAAAATGAGGACTAAAGTTACTTAAGAAGGGCTAAGTAGACTAGTAGAGCTTAGGTTGGATGTTAAGCCAAATTTCAAATTGACCAAGTTTGTGCTGCTGTGTCTTAGATCTGTCCTCATTTTGTCACAGCAAAGTATGAAAGGATTTGTAGTTAAGATAATAAACGATAAGAATATGCAAAAAGGTCAAAAGACATTTGCATATTTTCCATATTTATTTAATCAACATACAAGAAAAAACTAGGACAAAGATTTCTTGCCTCAAAATTATTTGTAGAGGCTGCAATATGCAAGGCTGTCTCTCCATTCTCATCTTTCCAGTTCAGGATCTGTCCATTAATATTTCCTCTCTTGAGCCAACCTAAAAGCACCTGCAAAGCCCTGACATTTTTATTTCTCACAGCAATATGAACAGCCGTTTCTCCTCGAATTGTCAAATCTTGAATGGATTGCGGACAGGCGACTAGAAGATCGGCCAAAAGCTCAGCATCACCCACTTCAGCTACATAGTGCAAAGGCGTAAACCCCTCTCTTCCTTTGACGCGAATGAGCTCAGGATCATGCTTAATGAGCCATTTTACTGTTCTATTTTTTCCTCTTCGAAGTGCCAAGTCCAGTGGACTATACCCGTCCGGGTTGAGCTTCGCGCGGAATGATGGCTTTAACCTTAAGACTTCAACGGCAAAGTGGGTGGAGCCAGCAGCTGCTGCTATGTGTGCAGGCGTATCCACAAATGATGGTTCATCATATTTATCCAAAAGGGTTGGATCCTCCCGGAGTACATGATATAAAGCGTTTATGTCTCCTGATTGAGCGGCTTCAGCCAGTATCTGCTCCATAACTTGCTAAGAAACTTAATTCAGCAAATTTTCACCACATATTTATAAAACAATTACACTTGTAGAACTTATACTTAATCGCCCTAGCTAAGAACCTGCTTGGAAGGTTCACTGACATTCCTTGGCATTTTACATAATCCAATCCAATATTTCTTTTCTTTTTTTTTTGTCCAAGTCTTACCTAGCTAATCGAATATTTACATTGTTGTACCTAATCCTATGTCTCAGCAATTGTCTCTAGTCTTGGCTCTATTCTGGGGCGAGGCAAGAATATTCTCGTTATGGGGCCAAAAAAATTATTCTCATCTTATCTTTCAGTTTCATACTTCAATTTTCTAGCTAGTCGACCAAGCATCTATGTAGCCTCTACAGTTTTTTTCACTTAATTTGAGTCATTTGACAGCCAATGTGTATGATGCGCAAGGTACATACACTTAATACTTGTACAGGAAATATATTTTATCTTTTAGTTATATATGGTAACAATTAATATAATCACTCACTCTCCAGTATAACTTGATAATGTGCAGCTTTATCTCCATAATGCACAAATTCCTTCATCATTCAAGCATTGGACTTCATCTCCCAACTATTTTGAATATAAGATTTTTGATTAGCAACAATATAAATTTTGTTAACAATATTGATATCGATACCCAACGAAAGTGGTGCTATTACGATAGATGAGTCCTTGTACTCGATTTTGTGCTGGGGAGAGTCGAAGAAGAGGACAAGAAGAAGGAAAAGGTTAGACTAGCACCACATTAATCCTCAAATCACCTAATTTCCTATTTAATGGAAATAGGAAATGGATTCTAAGAAGGATACAGGAGATCAATTGTTTTTAATGGATAAAATTGGAAAACAAAAGACCATAAAATAAAAACAAAATACTCTATAAAATTGGCTAGGGAGATGAGAAGAAGTAAATTTCCTATTTAGCCAAATCAGAAATTGGAAAAGAGAAGAGTTCCATTAAACATTTTGTAAGTTCCTCAAGTGCTAGGACTTATGAAGATGGTACTGGAGTAAGTACTAGGGGTAGATGATCATTTGGTCAAACAATTTGGCATCCGAGATGGATGTAATCTTCCAAAATGGTACTCTTCGTGGACTGAGAAATCTTTGAGAAATCCCTTTGTGTCTACTCCTACCGAAAAGAAAAGAGAAGAAACTAAAGATGATAGGAAAAGTCAAATGCTAAATCTCTACCCCCTGACATGCGTAGGAAAACAAGAAGCCAAAAGGGAAAAGTTCCAAAAGCTAAAGGAGTCCTCCTCCTCTGCAACTCCATTCCTCTTCTATTTAATTACTAACTAAGCCTCCTCCTAAGTGCGGCGGCTCCCAACAGGAAGAAGAAGCCCTTCAGCCATCCTTTCTTCACCGAATTTACCAAAATGGACATAACATCTTCTTTTCCAAAAATGCCCCTGGGACGAGCTCATTCATCTGGACCATTTTTCTGTCAAATTGGACGAGCTCATTCACCTGTTATCATATTTTCGTTCTACTCCCTGAAATAGATGCAAAATACTAAAAGTGAGTAGAATTTAACAATTAATCCACGTCAGGTCAGGTAATAGGGGAAATTAATAATAAAATAAATAATAAAATTACACCCTATCACATCCTGCTCCTATCTGACTAAAAAATGAATCTCAACATAGAACTTAATTTACTAAGTTTTTGAAACTCCCACCAACCAAAGAAATCTAAAGCCTTGTTTGGATTGCTGGTCTCGTTGACAATTTTCTTTTTAATTTTTTAGGAATATTTGCTTAATACATTTTCCAATAACTTCTTTTCTTTTCTTTTTGTTTTTTACCTCAAATACAATACCTAATGAAAAAGTACTATAATGGTATTTTTTTCTACAAAATTCGCAAAAAAGAAATTCAAATGGGCTCTGAGCATTAGAGGTATGATAAAAGAAAGACTCAAAAGTTAGAAGAGATTCAAGTGTAATTTAAGAATTTCTTCTAATTCATAATTCGAGAGTAACTAACAATTTATCTTTCTTTAGTTGAAATGCAGAGATGAGATACACCCTATGATTGATAGAAAGAAAGAAAAATAGAGATTGCATGGGTCTGAAATGATTCATCAAAGAATATAGAAATCACCAATAAGATAAAAAAAAAAATATATGTCATACATCCAATCATTAGTTTGTACACATAAAGTATTATCATCCTTCTGATATAGGTGTAATAATATTATGAGTATACAATAATTTTGTTAAAATATGATAGTACCCTTCATTATCTATTAGATTTTGAGCTATTAATCATGTAAAAGCTGGAAAACAAAAAAGTTCTAAATATGTTAGATCCTTGACTGTGAATTATACTAAGTTTTTTTAATTAAGAATAGTTAAAGAAAATAAAAATCACACTAATATTATGTTATGATGTTGACAATCAAAACATTACTAGAAGTTTAAAAAGGTGATAAAATGTGTTTTAGTTTGGGATGACATAATCAGGGTCTTAGCATGTATGATATCCCACGTTAACCATTTCGTTGCCTTGTATTGAGAAACACACATATACAGCATTCCAAGGAAAAACACTCCAAAAAACAACTAAAAGCTAATAACATACCCAAATAATAGACCAAAACATATCCAAAATATTCAAAATTAGGATTTGATGTAATGGAGGACAAACACATGTTACTTGGTCATCCAATCGAGGGGTTTATGCGCAAGAAAAATGAATTCCTACGAAATTAATTTTGCTACAATTGATATTGTTATTTTATTTCTTTCAAGATGTGGTACAAGCTTATATGCATGGGTGTACTTTTTTTTTTGGATTATATACATGGGTGTACTTATATATTGAATTGACATATATGAATAAAATTCATATATACAACAAAATAATGCTAATTTTTACCAGATCAGATAAAATATGCAAAAATCATACAATCGCATCAAAACCTCAAATATGCTTTGCCCAAACCCTTTTTTGTTTTTTCTTTGTCCAAAGTTTTTTCTTCAATTTGATGACTAACTACCCCACCTTGTTAATAAATAGTAAGAAGCACTCCCAGCCAAATAAACTTTCTACATTTTTGATGAAGAGTGTCCATCAAAAGCAAAGAAAAGAAAAGAATAGAAGAGAGAGACTTTGTTGCGTCTACCTTCGATTCATAGATATTGCACTTTGAAAAGTCTAATTTTTTTTTTTTTGAAAAGTCCAAGGCATCATTCTCGAATGGTGGATTAAAAAAAATGTCACTTTGAAAATCCAAACACATCAATTTGCGTCAGCCACACCATGCCCTCAAAAAAATCACCTTATAATCCTCTTTTTGGATTCAAGAGAGATTGTAGAGTAAAAGAAGATGATTTGAGATTCAAATCAAGAACTTTATGCTTATTTGGCTAATATTTTTGCAGATATGGGATTATCAAATAATTTTTGCATCTTTGATCCATTACACTCCACAAAAATAATTTGCTGCTACTCCTATCTAGCAACATGGTTTTAGGGGAGTTACTAGTTGCTAACTTCAATTTTTTGATAATCACGGAGAAATTTGCTATCAATACTACCCACCAAAATGAGCGGGGCGGGGGGGGGGGGGAGCTGCTCTGTAACAGTTGTTTTCTTGGGAAACAAATGCATACAAATTAGATCCCGTTTGGATTGTATCTTTTAGAAGGTTTTATAAGAAAAAAAATACTGTAATGATATAATGTATGTAAGATATAAAAAAGATCAGAAATATATTTAAAAAATTGTTAACCAAAAATTCAAAAATAAAAATCCAAACAAGTTCTTTTATTGCTTGTACGAAACACTTAAAAATTGTTGACGTTCCATATTTTAATAATATTAGTCAAGACTTACATTACCATAATAATCATCGAGCATTTCCAATCCATTGAGATATAGTGAGATATACCATTACTAGGTCACATCTTACTACTTTGAAAAGGAAAAACGAACAAAAATTCTGTAAACCAAAATGCGGTTCTTGCCTAGGAAATGCATGGGTGAGTAAAACACGACTTTTAGCTTGTGGGTTTGACAGGATCACGACTTCTATTCGACTGCATCGAATTCTCACGTCAAATAACATGCAAACCCCGCCGTTGCATGTGCAAAATTCATCACAGAAGCTCCAGAATGACGGGACGAGTCATACTTGAGCAGCAAAACAAATAAAACTGGGCTGGAGAAAGGAATTATTATGAAGAAAGTTATACATGATACTTTTTATTAGCTCAGTTTCTTATATACCCACAAAATTTTCTCCAATTTTCAATAAGCATGTTAAATTTTATTAGTTCAATTTCTTGGTCAAAAGTAGATGATTTAGTCGATACATCATATGTTCTATCATTTGTGTTTTGTCCTTGTTAATGAACAATATTGTGGTTGAATTGAACATGCTGGATTTTTATTTTATTTTTTAAGTTTCATTTTGTTCTGGACTGAGTAGCCATGAGAAGGGAAGAAAACATATTGTTGCTGTTTGTAATTTATCATTCATTAACTTTCTTCTAGGGGTGATAAATCTCAAATTATTAACCGATTCTTTAGCTATTCCTCCTACTTCGGATGATCTCGAAAGCATTGGAGTTATAGACCTTAGAGGGAGAGTACAAATGGGGTGGCCTATTTTCTCCATTTTCTTGATCTTGACTACTGTAACATTTCTTGCCTCAGTTGGGATGTTTGTTGCTCTGTTGCAAAAAACACATTACAATTCATTACTGGTGGAACCTCATTTTCACTATCTCTCAGCTATGGGTTTTCAGCTGGAATCATACTGCCAAGTCTGGATGTTTTGTATACATTGACCTCATAGTTTCTCGTATACATTGATCTCATTCTGTGATTTTGTGCAAATGCTGATGCTACCTCTGCAAAATACCAGTTCCGCTCAGAGATTAATTCGAGTATGATCTCTGATCATCCTAGCCATCAAAAAACCAGAGATCTTAGAATATTGCTGGCACATTCTTGCAACTTACTTTACCTTTG